CAATGTGGGGCAAATGAGCGTCTTCATGCATTTAGTCGCACTCTTTTGAAAATTGGTAACTTTCCAGCCAGATCAAGTAGCAACTTGAAATTTTTTACATCTGTCGCATAGATTTAAATCTGAAAGACCGCAAAGTTTCAGTTAGATCGCACACAATCCTGGTTTTTGTCAATCACTTCATGTTGGTCTGAAAATGAACGTCTTTCTTCGTATGTGCGCGCTTTTTTAATAATTCGCCACTTTCAAGCTAGGGCAAGTAGCAATTTGAAATTTTCAGGATCTGTCGGGTATATTTGAGTCTCGAAGATCTAAAAGTTTCACTTGAATCGCAGCAGAATCTGAGCTTTTTCAACCAAATCAATGTCGGCCTGAAAATGAGCGTCTATGTATTTACCCGCACTTTTTCAATAATTGTCAACTTCAACGCAGATCAAGTAGCAACTTGAAATTTTGACCATGTGTACAAAATACTAAAATCTGGACATGTGCAAAGCCTTGGCTGCATCGCACCAAATCTTGAATTTTACCAGCAAAGTCAAGTTTGGTCTAAAAATGAGCGTCTTCTTGCATTTACCAGCGCTCTTTTAAAAATTGGCAACTTTCAAGCCTCATCAAGTAGCAAATTAAAAGTTTCAGCATCTGTCGAGTAGACCCAAATGTGAAAGCTCTGGACGTTTACTGAAATTGCAGGAAAAAGTGGTTTGTGCCTACCAAGTCAATGTTGGTCTAAAAATAAACGCTTTTTAGCATTTAAGCGCGCTCTTTTAAAAATTTACAGCTTCCAAGCCAGATCCAGTGGCAACTTGAAATTTTCACCGTCTGTGCAGCAGAGCTGAAACTGAAAGTGCTGAAAGTTTCACTTAAATCGCAGCAAAATCGGATTTTTTTGAACAGTTGCAAGTACACCTTGCAATTTTGACCATCTTCCGAACAGACTTGAATCTTAAAGCAGCGAAAGTTTCAGTTAATTCTCCACAAAATCTGATTTGTTGGTATGCTAAAGCAGTCTTCATACATTGATCTACCGTCGTTGAATAAGTGCCAACTTTCAACCCAGATAACCCAGACCAAGTAGCAACTTGAACTTTTTTGATTGAAAACTTTGATAGTTCAGGAGTTTTCAAATGGAGATAAACAACGCGAAACAGAAGCCGATTTTGCCTACGAAATCATGAAGCGAATGCGATTATTCTGTTCTTTGAAGCCTGGCAAAGAGGGTAAATTAACCACGAGCAAAAACGCGTGGGGGTGTGGGACCGGATTGACAGAACGACTAGGAAACCTCGTTACTGTTTCCGGTGTACATTTTCGGTAATCCCATTTAGAGCGATTGTCGTTCTTATTTGAAACCACCCGCCGACGCTCAGCTCAATCCCTCTGTTTTGCCTGTCTTGTTAATATTAATGAAAATCCTTCGAGTTCACTGTGACGAGTCTATCCAGTTGGCTTGAGCGATTGGGGTTCGACCACAAGCAAACACAGAGATGAACCTTCACAGTTCATTAAATGAACAGTGAATGAGTACAAAAAACTATTAAAATTCACGAGTGAAACAATCTTGAAACAACAAACACTGAATGTTCAAGCAATTTTTTAATTTTATCTCTTCAAACCTCGACTAGCGTTCGTTTGGTGGACAAAAACGCCAACTGCACCCAACATCGTTTTAAATCATTAATCAACTGTCGATGTAAAACACACTTAAGTGCGGCTGCAATTCGATGTGCTAAATTTCCAGTGCAGAAAACAGTTGGTAAATTCATGGACCAATAAAAAATCAATTCGCGCGTAGGTAGCCAATAATTGGCCACGGTATGGCGATAAGAAGAACAACCCAAGACATATGTTCATGCAGGACGTTTTTTTCCCTGTTGTGCTGCAGATGTCACTGCAGTTTGAGGTTTCGGCTGCAGCACATTGTTTATTCTTTGTTCCTCTTTGATGAAATTTACTCATTTCTTTGAGACCAGGAGAATTTCTTTCGGAATGATAATGTGAAATTTGGAGAGGCTGGCAAAAATCATGATTTAGTGCGCTTCGAGTAAAACTTTCAGGACATTTGGACCCACATGTTTTCTATGGAACTTCCAAATTTAAAGTTGCTGTTTCAGGACGTTTTTTTCCTTGTTGTGCTGCAGATGTCACTGCAGTTTGAGGTTTGGGCTGCAGAAGATTGTTTATTCTTTGTTCTTCTTTGATGAAATTTACTCATTTCTTTGAGACCAGGAGAATTTCTTTCGGAATGATAATCTGAAATTTGGAGAGGATGACAAAAATCAGGATTTAGTGCGCTTCGACTAAAACTTTCAGGACATTTGGACCCACATGTTTTCTATGGAACTTCCAAACTTAAAGTTGCTGTTTCAGGACGTTTTTTCCCTGTTGTGCTGCAGATGTCACTGCATTTTGAGGTTTCGGCTGCAGCACATTGTTTATTCTTTGTTCCTCTTTGATGAAATTTACTCATTTCTTTGAGACCAGGAGAATTTCTTTCGGAATGATAATCTGAAATTTGGAGAGGCTGGCAAAAATCAGGATTTAGTGCGTTTCGACTAAAACTTTCAGGACATTCGGATCCACATGTTTTCTATGGAACTTCCAAATTTAAAGTTGCTGTTTGATCTGAGTTGAGAGTTATTGATTTTTGAAAGGATGCGGATAAATGTACGGTGGCGCTAATTTTCGCGCCAAGATTCATTTGGCTGGCAAAAATCCAGATTTAACGCTATTACACTGCAAATTTTCAGATTTGCAGAACCACCGTTCTGCTAAAGATTGTTAGAATTTCAAGTTGCTACTTGATCAGGGTTAAAAGTTGCGAAATTTAATAAACAAGAGAGTAAATGAATGAAGACACTCAGTTCAAGCCATTATTCACTTGGCTGGAAAAAATCAGGATTTAGCGCTATTGCACTGCAGGTTTCAGGATGTTCAGAACCACATCTGCTCTAAATATCATTAAAATTTCAAGTAGCTACTTGACCAGGGTTAGAAGTTGTGAATTTTAATAAGCAAGAGAGTAAATGCGTGAAGACACTCAGTTCAAGCCATTATTCACTTGGCTGGCAAAAATCAGGATTTAGCGCTATTGCACTGCAGGTTTCAGGATGTTCAGAACCACGTCCGTTCTAAAGATCGTTAAAATTTCAAGTAGCTACTTGACCAGGGTTAGAAGTTGTGAATTTTAATAAGCAAGAGAGTAAATGCGTGAAGACACTCAGTTCAAGCCATTATTCACTTGGATGGCAAAAATCACGATTTGGCGGTATTGAGCTGAAATTTTCAGCATTTGCAGAACCACATTTCTGGTAAAGACTGTTAAAGTTTCAAGCTGCTGCTTGATCCGGGTTCAAAGTTGCAAATAAAAAAAAACGTGAAGCCAATGTATGAAGACACTTATTTTTAAGATATTATTCACTTGGCTGGCAAAAACCCAGATTTGGCGCTCTGGCGCTGAAATTTTCAGGATTTTCAGAACCGCATTTCGTTTAAAGGTCGTTACAATTTCAGGTTGCTACTTGCTTAGGGTTAAAAATTCCGAATTTTTAAAACGGGAGAGTAACTGCATGAAGACACCTATTTTCAAGCCATGATTCGCTTGGCTGGCAAAACCCAGGATTTAGCGCTATTGCACTGCAGGTTTCTGCATGTTCAGAACGACATCTGTTCTAAAGATCGTTAAAATTTCAAGCAGCTACGTGAACAGAGTTAAAAGTTGCGAATTTTTAAAAACAGGACGGTAAATATATGAAGACACTCATATTTCGGCCGTCATTAACTTGGTTGGCAAAAGTTGGGATCTGGCGCCAGTTTGCTGAAATTTTCAGCACTTTCAGAATCGCATTTCAGCTAAAAACGGTAAAAATTTCAAGACGCTGGTTAATATGCGTTGGAAGTTGTCAATTAAAAAAAAGCTGGTAAATTTATGGCGACACTCATTTTCATGCCATCTCGATGATGGCTGGCCAAAAATCAACATTTACCTCTATTGCACTAAAATTTTCAGCAATTTCAGAACCACATTTCTACTAAAGATCTTTAAAATTTCAAATTGCTGCTTCATCTGCGTGGAAAATTGCAAATTTTTAAATAAGGGCTGGTATATGTATGAAGACACTCATTTTCAGGCCATCAGGCTGGCAAAGATCCAAATTTGGCTCAACTCCACTGAAAATTTCAGGACTTTCAGACACAGGTGTCTTCTATAGACGGTCGAAACTTGAAGTTGATTGCTTAAAATCTGTTGAAAATTGCTGATTTTTTAAAGAGGCTGGGCAAATGTAGGTAGACACTAATTTTCAGACCAAGATTGACTGAAATTGATTGATTGAAATGTCTTGTATGGACAGGGAAAGCGGCTTTTCGAAAGCTTTGTAACTTTCTCAGAAAAGCTCAGGTCTCAGTGCCAGGATTCATCAAAGTGCCCCTGATCATGCTTGAAAATCGCAACTCTCCACCCAACCACGAAGACATTTGGTCCTAGGCAAATGTGGAAAAATCGGGCAAAAATCCCAATTTTATTGCAACTAAAGCCCAGGAAAATAATAAAACTAAAACGGACTTTAATGGGCAAATAAAATGTTCCGAATGTGCTCATAAATTGCGATTTACCTCGCCCGCCCATCATAACGCGCGGTACTTCTGAGTACACACATGTTTTACAAGTGCGCGTTTTGCGGTTCATACGCTCAAATTGTCAACTTGTTCATTTAAATGGTTTATAGGCGGATGCAACTCGGAATAAAAACTGTTTTGGGGCCCTCACTCAGCACTGACACTGCGATTTATGAGCGAAATGGGGGGGAAAAAGTGGCCGAAAATTCCCCAGAAAAACAAAATCGGGGCAGGTGATTGACCGGTAGAAACAGAAAAAAAGAGCTTGATTAGTTGCGCCCCATATAAGGAGCCCTTAATTATAAACAAATTAGAGCCTTGTAAGGCAGCAATTGAAGCTAAGGTGATTTGATTATGATGGTGTAAGGCAAAGTGAGTGTCTGTTTCAGGATGTCGTGAAAGTCGGCCAATCAAACTATGATCCTCCGATGGACATTGAGCCTGCTGCTCCTGTTCGATGGAAGAACGCAGGCCGTCGATCCATGTAAGTACCACGTTATTAATTATGCCAAATCCCTAAGCCCGATTGGAATGGATTGAAATCCCTCCATTATAATACGAGGGCCAATGCGAGCAAATTTTAATCCATGTTTGCCATAATATTGTATTAAATCTTGTTCGAGTTGGCAAAGCCGCTCTGATTAGACGATTAATAACCAATTGGAGCAGATTAGACTGTCGGTAATAGTGATACTAAATGCAGTTAATGCGGCGAAAATCGCGGAATAATGGAGCGAATGTTTTTCTTCTGTTTGCAGCGCAATGCATCGCTCCATTGGGAATGGAGAATGGAGGCATCAAGGACGCGGACATAACGGCCTCCTCCTCATTTGATAGCGGCAATGTGGGCCCTCAACATGGCCGGTAAGCATCAAGCAAACGGTTCCCTAAACGACTGCTCATAATTTACAAATACGAAACTAATAAAGATGATGACGATATCCGTTTTCCGCCGTCAAGCAGCATAAAAAATAATAATGTTGCCTCATTACGGTTAAGGACATCATTAATATTTCAGAAATTGAATCACTAAACACGAATCATCTTAACGATCGCGCATTTCTCAGAGCTGGATTTTTCGGCAAGCATCGCTTGCAGGAAACGAATGTTTCAAACTAGCGGTAAATTATTGTTTATGGGGGGATTGGAAAAGTTGCCACTAAAAATAGGCGGCTTCCCACTTGAATTTGTGTAGGGAATTCCTGCGGAATCCCAATTTTCAGGGCTTGTATTGGTGAGGGATCCAAAGCTCATGATATGGGGACAAACAAACGGTTGCAGAATTTTAGGATTTTATGTGCTTTTTTTCAAAGTCTCATCCGTGTGGGACTCGAGTGTCTTCTCTAGATGGTGAAAGTTTCCAGTTGCTCGCTGGTGTGGGTTGGGAGTTGTGATTTTTAAAAAAATCACGTTTCGATGCGGTTTGACTCACATTTTCAGAACAGTGAGACTCAGCATTCTTCTGTGGATGGGGAAAAAATTAAGTTGCTGCCTAAATTCGATTGGAACTGATGAATTTTTTAAAAAGGAGGGTAAATGTTGACACTTATTTTTCAGCCCTTAGTCACTTGGCTGGCAAAAATCCAAATTTGGCGCTATTACACTGAAATTTTCAGAACTGTTAGATTCACGTCCCTGCTAAATATGGTTAAAATTGCAACCGGCTACTTGATCAGGGCTAAAAGTTGCAAATTTCCAAATCAGGGAGGGTAAATGTATGAAGACATTTATTTTTAAGCCATTATTCACTTGGTTGGGAAAAATCCAAATTTGGCGCTATTGAACTGAAATTTTCAGAACTTTCAGAATCACATCCCTGCTAAATATGGTTAAAATTGCAACCGGCTACTTGATCAGGGCTAAAAGATGGAAATTTCCAAATCAGGGAGGGTAAATGTATGAAGACACTTATTTTTAAGCCATTATTCACTTGGCTGGCAAAAATCCAAATTTGGCGCTATTGAACTGAAATTTTCAGAACTTTCAGAATCACATCCCTGCTAAATATGGTTAAAATTGCAACCGGCTACTTGATCAGGGCTAAAAGTTGCAAATTTCCAAATCAGGGAGGGTAAATGTATGAAGACACTTATTTTTAAGCC